ACAAAACCTCCTTTGAATCCATAGTTGGATGGGCAGGTGTTTTATTATTTGGGCCTTCAGTGGGACAAGACCAGTACTTGAACTTGAACTACTATCTCGGCCTGCTAGGCCTGCCTGCGTTGGGCCTTGGACAAATATTTTTCTACAAGCTGGACTATGATTTTTTTTTTCTTGATGCTCCGAACAAATAGCATTGTATTTTACTCTCTTTTTTTTTTTTTTGGTAAATGAAAATAAAATTATCTTATCATTGGATTTGGTAAAATTGTTTTTTTCTTACCTGATATTTTACATTTAACTGTAGTTTTTAGAATCATGAATTCATTAATTAATTATAAAAATTATATAAAATAAAAATTATCAAAATTTAAAATTTAAGTAATAGCTAAAATTCTATTTCATAAAATACAAGTTTGTAATTTAAGCTAAAATATTTCTTTTGAAAAATGTAGAAGCACTTTTAAAAAAAATTTAGATTTGGTTTAATTTAACCTTTGCTAATTTATAATTAAAAAAAAATCTTTTTAGAAGTTGAATCAAACACACTTAAAATTTTTACAAAGTTAGTCAGAGGAAAATACCAATACAAAATCTTCAATTAGGCCAAATGAGCTTAAAATCCATACAAAATCTCACGTCTACTTTATTGTGCTGCTGTTCTCTGACTAAAAATTTCAAAACAATTGAACTAAATCACATTTTATTGGTTCCACACAACATCCTTACAAGAGTAAGCATCACCACATTACATTTCCCTTTGATTTATTGTTCTCATAAGCATTTCATACTGGCATTCTGGTGAGCTTTTACGTCACCAGTTTACAACACTTCAAATTTATTTGGTGGTTTGGACTTCTGAGCAGCATATGAAGGCCCAAGTGGCAGCATTATTTCACTATTTACAGCAGGTTGTGTTCATCAGATGACTCAAGGCATGTAAAAACAATGCCTACAAATGCAGAAAAATGAGACTCTTAGCATGAGTTTATATGTGTTCTTGATAAATGGGAAAGAACATTACAGAATCTGAAACCTTCTTTGCCTGTAGAATCTAGTTGAAGGCAAGAACAAAGGTTCGAATTTCCATTGGAGCTAGTTCAACCACCAATGTTGCTGGATCAACTGGTCCTCCCCTCACCACCTTAGGATCATCTTTAGGGGAGCCTTCTACTTTCCAGACAAGCCTCTTCTTCTCCATTTCTGCCCTTCCTTGGTTAGCTGACAAACTGGTCTCTTTTATTTCCTTTATCTGGATGAAAGTTGAAACAAAATGTTGCAGGAGTAAGTTATTGCTTAATAATTAACAAACTGTGTATTCACTATCATCTTTTTGCCTTTTACCTTCTTATTTGCAAATAGTTTCTTCAGTTCTACACTTGCTATGACTGAGAGATCCTTGTCCTCCCCAACCTCCATTTAAAAAGAAAATCGCAATTTTAGAAAAATAAAGGTGAAAAGGCCATAAGTTTTTATCTTGAAGTTAATGAGTAATGCCAAAGTATCAATGACAACGTCAATCTTTATACTAGAAGTGAAAAACACAAACCTCATATAAGTGTGCCAATCGAAGAAGAACTTTTCCATCATCCAACTCCTGCATGTTTCAAGAAAAGGGTAAGATATATGGCCATGTAAGTTATATATGTTTGTCAGAACTCGGAAGTTGCATTGACATATCAAACATAGAAGGGCTCTTTTCTTGCACTTTTCTTGCACTTTTCTCCTTAAATAAACTACTGCATGAGTTAGAATAAATGTCAACAAGTTAACAAGGGCAGTAGATATTCACCTGGAGGGTTACGATTGCAACATTATCAGGGACAACATAGGAGGGATCTATCCCTGAAAATGATACTACATGGGAATTTTTCCAGCTATTCTCATCCTGCTAAACATTAACCAAACATTTGTCAGTCACTATTGTACTCAATCTGAAATAAGAATGCTTAGAAGTCTTCTTTTACCTGCTCTGTGAAGGCTAACAGAAAAGGAGAATATATCTCTTGACCAAAGGACCGACGCCACTTAGCACCTTCTCCAAGAGGATCTATTCTAAGATAATACTTTCCTACAATCTGGAGAATTTTCATTTGATTAAAAAGAGAAAAAGCAGTTGTGAAAAACTCAAGACTGGCTTCGGCTAATAAGTGCTTACAGTTAGTCCTGTGCATTTATTAAGAACACAAACTGTTTCATTTAGAGCCTCTCCAACACCTCTACTATCATCATGAACCAACCTCCTACAGTTCCAAAATTTTTTCATATGAGCAATTAATTTCATGTATGATGATAGTTCTTAAGTAATCTCATACACAACATAACAAGCTATGAAAAATGCAGGACCAAACCTATGCAGCATTATTTCCACTTGACCATCCACAATGCTGGATCCTCCAACAGCTCGATCAACTAAAACAGAGAGCTCCTCCTTGTCATCTTTTATGAACATTCCAAGATTAATCTGAAAAGGGATTAATAGATGTCTTAAAAGTTTTCAATTTTTATAACAAAACCACAGAAACAAAGTTTAGAGTGGATCATCAAATCTGCTCTACTAAGGTTCCAAATGGAGCACATGAAAGCATAAAATTTTAAAATTTTGAAAAGAAGGGGTCTCTAATATAAAGGAAGCATACTGGATAGTAGTTTCCTGCAATAGGTTGGTTCACTTCCAGGTGCCAATCTTTTCTAAAGTCCCGAATCTGCAAAAGAGTATAATTTAAATAAGGGCTATGTACAACTAAACTTGGAGAGGTTTTACTTTGTTGGTCATGCATTCTCCTTCCAACATTACAACATGTAACTAAGCAAGCAACAAACCCTTTCAATGAAATCGCGCGCATTGGAGTCTGTGTAGAATGTTTTTTTGCTTCTAATGTCTGTTGAAATCCGTGTAACAACTTCTTTGCCAAAGCCATCATCAATAGGGATAGGTCCAATCTACAATTGAGAACAGTGGTGTTCATAAATGCAGCTCCTACATGAAATTCTCTTGGACACACTCAAAGTAAAAATACAAGTCTATACATGCATAAACTGATGGACTTACAGTGAACTCAAATTCAGCATGCTCTTTTCCTTTGTACACTCTTGCAATCTGTTTATGCGTACAACAAAATTAGTATTTTTCCTTTTTGAGTCAAACAGTGGATGAAGGAATAAATCTAAGATCACTCTCTTTTTTATTGAAATATTGTGTGCCACTATATTTTTTTATGCTGAAACCAACTAAAGAAGGCTATTCAGGAAATAAACATAATCATTTGATGACCATTGGACAAGATGACTCACCTGATATATCCATGAATTGGTTTTCTGGTGTACTTCATCCAATATTGGCCCCCGCAAAACAGTAAAAGAAGCCTGAAAATTTTCAAACATCCCTTAATTGCTCATTGCTCTTAAATGTATACTGTTAATCAGTCATGTGCTTCAGTATGTACCTTTCCTTTAGATTTCAGTGGATGTGAGCCATTTGGACGAAAGAGATATGCTCCAGAGGCATCCTTCAATAAGTTAAAATGGTTATTCCTTAACTTTTGCACAAACTATAAGTACCACTGATACAAAAACATGAAGACATTAAGTAATCTAAGAAGGATCAAAAGGCATTCACAAAGGTTAAAATGAATAAATAAATAAATAAATATATATATATATATATATCAGAGAAGGGGCATTATTACCAGCTTATCCTTACTTCCATTATGTCCAGCATAAAAGCTATATGATTGATCTACAGTTGCATTTACCTTCAGTTGTACTAAAATGAATTAGAAGCAAGAAACTTACGCAAGGTGACAAACTTCAATTTATGTAACAAACAGAAAATAATATAACAAGGCAGATTGCAACTATGACACTAGCGAAAGAGAGATTTTTAATAAATTCAGTAAACAAAGAGTCTATGTTTCTCAGCTAAGAAAAAAAGGAGCAAACATAGAAGAGTTAATTTCAAACCAAATGACACACCTTAGTTCTGCTATTAGTATAGCGAAGGAGTTTTCCACCATTTCCAGAATACACAAGTTTAAGAGCCCCCAATCCAACTTCAACCGTACCACTTTTACTTAGTTCTGAACTGTGCATTACATGGCTCTTTGCATGAGGAACTGCAATAACAAAGTAAGAGAATAGAAGTAAATAATTTAGGTCAACACTGCAAATAACTATTTGAGACAGCTGCCAAGTTTTTGTAGGTAGAACGGCATTAGTGTTTTCACCAAATGAGAGTCATATTTGTAACCTGGCTTTTTGACTCTTGAGATGAAGTAAGTATTGAAACCAAGTGGTGGTGCTGATGCTGAAAATGCAAGCCAATACTTTGGTGTTGTACTTGGAGATCTACCCAAATAAGCCATTGAATGGTAGTTTCTTATAGCCAATGAGGCATTTTGTACTGGTAGGAGCTGAGATTCAATTACTTTTCCTCCAGCATCCTTAACAGTGACTTTTTCATCAATTACCTGCAGTGAGTTATTTAACGCTTAAAATGGATAGAAAGGCATAGGAATAACAAATGAAGTTTTGTCCCCTTTCTGAGACAATAAGAAAAAGTAAACAAAAGATGAATAATTAAAATATAAAGTTCTAACAGATGAAAAATGGAAAATGAGATGTATGCATTTGGGAGGTGAATGTGCATGTCATAGTGCATAAACATGAAGACACAAATATACATCTACATACAGTGTGACATTTTGTTGTTTTTTCTTCTTATAATTACAGTGGGAGATGGGAGTAGATAAGGTATAAAAGACTGAAAGGAATAAAGAGCAGCCTTTATTATTCTTGTCATTTTTCAAAGTAATAATTTGTCTAAATTCGTTCTTTTCAATTGTTACTGGCTGAAGGTTGCAAAAAAAAAAAGTAAAACAGAGGACTTACAGGAATCCTTATAACATCCTCTCTTTTCCACCCTAGAGGATTATAGACAACCACCACCTACAGGAAAAAAAAAAAAAAATCATTACAAGAAAATCAGTCCTGATGGAATTAAGTTCATCTTTACAATCACTGGAATGTCAGTCATATGAGAGATGAAAATTGCCATCTACTTTGGTGCTTACCAGGCTTTTCCCATTTGACAAGCCTACTTCTGATGAAGGACAATAACTTATATTCAGAAGTGGACACTGAAAGAGAAAGGTATCGGGATATATGGAAAGATAGCTAGTTAGAGAATCAGCATACTTAAACTGAGGGCAGATGAATAAAGCCCACGAAAACTAGAAAAATAGATTTTCATCTTCATAAATGTAAATAGCTAAAAGAGTTCACCAACTCTAATAATCAAGATAAGTTAATACACTAATGGACAAAATTCTGAGCTTACGTCACACATCTTATTTGTCCATAGTGTTAGAAACAGTCAATGCAATTGTGAGTTATGCACCAATTATAACTGATCCCTTTCCTCATCTGAATGCACTAAGTTCAACCTTATATGATGGTAGGTTTTTAGTTTGATTATTCGGTTGTAGAAAACATTTATTAAGGCTAGTTTTTCACCTATAATAACTGATCCTTTTTCTCATCCGAATGTACTAAGTTCAACTTACATGATAGTAGGCATTTGTTTAGAATGTTCAGTAGTAGAAAACATTTATTAAGGCTACCTTGCTACCCTTGACTGAGCTAAAAATGCATAAGATGTAAATTATTTGCCTGTTGAAACTTAGTTGTTGGACTTCTACAGCCAGTCTTTGAAGATGACTCCATTATGCAGGCAAGAGACATTTCAACCATCTGTGCAGCCTGCAAGAAAAGTAATTTGATAGGGATTATTTTGTGCTTAAGCTTGACTAAAAGCATCAAATAGAAAAACTTTTGACAAATTAAAACCACCTCATCATAGCCGATGGACAATCGTTTTGCATAATCATCAGCAACATGCTGCTTTGATGTACCACTGATTCCATCATGATGTTGAGCAATTGCCAAAGCATCAGCCAAAGAGTCTACGTTTGGCCCTGCTTTACTTCTTCCCTTATAGAACTCCAATTGCCTAGCTGCCTGTTTTCAATATATGTGGGTATTGCAGAAGCATAGTAGAGTTAAAAGATGACATGAGATCTATAACAGTCATATAAGCAATAGGTCATACCAAATAGTAGCCACTCATTGTTCTAACATAGCCTTTCAAGGATGGTCTACTAGTAAAATATCCTGTCCAGTATGCATTTACACGGTCTGCATATCTTATAAATCCAGTATTAATCTAGTTTAGTAAAAGAAAAATGAATATATAATTGTAAAATTGAATTGGAAAAAGATTAGAACTCACGGGAAGTAATCATCAGTCTTGATCGGCCAAGATTCATTTGTTGCATATTTTGCATCAGTATATATTGATGGGGTTGAGTATAGGGCATTGACACGTCCATCCTAGAGTCATTACAAACCATAAAAAGTCCTATCTAGGAAAACTACAATAGATCACAGTTTATGTATAGATTCCTATGCCACAAGCAAAATAAATTTCATTCACATAAAGACCAAAGTCAAATGAAGCATGGACAAGAGATAACATTTTAGATCAAAGCTTGTTCAAAAGTTAATCATGGTAACAAACAGCAAGATATTCACATTCCTCTGTTTTGATTATGGCAACATGTAATCTAGTGTGTTCAAGTTTGTGTGAGTAATACATATGATCATGCTTATTTTTAAAATGAAGACCATGCTTCATTCTGAATAACATTCATCCTAACACATCAAAAGCAATTGCTAAACATAGCTAACTAAACTTAAGCAATTGCAAGAAACCAAATTACAACTGGAGAAAATATGCAGCAGATAATCAAATTCAGGAAAAGTTTAGATGATGCAGTAGAAAGATCTGTGCAATACTGACTTGATTAACATAATGAATAAACTTGTCCATCTGCCGGAACCATGTGTGTGCATATTGGTACTTGAAATCTGTTCCCATGGTCCACATGATATGATTTGTTCGAGTTACGTTAGCCTGAAACAACAAAAAGGATTGATCAGCATGACTGTATTAATTACAGATTGATCTTGGCACCCCCATTTTTTCCTACCAATTTCAAGATTATATTTTTGACTGCTTAAGATGGTAACAACATATAAATTACAGTGTAGGCAATTCCCTCTTGTTTTCAGGAGATTTTCATGAATCAAGTGTCTTAATTTTACAATATAATACAAACATCAATTCTGATTTTCATCTGAGACTAGTAAGGACATTTTGAAAGTGATTAAATGAATTTGAGGCTACTGCATCTTACCTGCCACAATTCAAACAATGCTACGCATACATAGCATCTTACCTGTGATAATGCAGCAGATATGAACTCATTCACACAACGAGGGACGTTGTAGTCAAACAAATTCTCGTCATCCTTCATCACATAGTGCACAAAACATGCGATTCAAGAGACACTCTGAAATGGCAAAAAAAAAAAAAAGAGGGCTACTCTAAAATGTGTAACTAAGAATTTACCTGGACAATCAGGGAATCCTGGTCATCAATTTCATAGTGAAAATATTTACTTGGAGGTTCATAGTTCCCAGCAGGGAATGCATCAGAAAATATCTACAAAACAGTAAAAAGTCTCTCAGAAATATATATATATATTTTTTTTAAGTAGCCATTTATCAAAACATATGATGGATACAAATATATTTGAAATGACTAAATTGTTCCCACCTGTGCAGATGAACCAAGACTCTTAGAACCCCTCCAGACAACCTCAAGTGTTTTGTCATCTTTCCTCTTTGCTCTATCTTGGTAGTCAATTCTTGCAAAGAAAAGTGAATCAAATCCAACCTATCCAACAAGCAAGCTTCTTCTTAGTAGATCAGTAAATAAATGAAAGTAGAATTATTAGACGTATCTATTAAAGTATTAATGATATATTTCCAACTAGGAATGGCTTTGATTTGGATGGTAGATAAATGCAGTAATTGACATATTTGTGGTCCTGTTGATACAATAAAAGCATACTTCTGCCCCTAACAAGTAAGCCTGCGCTGCAGAATGCCCAAAGGGATCAATTTGCCAACCAATTCTTGGGGTCACATTAAATTCTTGTTTGACAAATCGATGTCCAAGAGTTGTTTGATCTATCATATCAATGTAATGTGTGGTTGCTTCATCATGCATGCACATGCCTCCATTTCTGCAAGTCAAAATCATCCAAAATCAAAGTAAGGCTAACTAAACGAACTAAAAGCAGCATATAAGTCCGACTAACACTAAAATGAAACTGCAGCAGTGCAGCTAACACCCTAGAAAAGAAGCTTGTGTGTTACATTAATTCTAGTTGACCAGAGCTGACTAGCTGCTTCACTGTCTCTTGAATTGCCTCACTCTGAGTTCTCCACCAGCGCTGAAAAAATGCCTGCATCACCAGCGTATAGTCTATTAAATTTCCCATCTCAAACTCAAACCCTCATTATCCTAACAACTCGTGCCCTAGATATACATCATCTTCAAAGTTTAAGCTCGAGTTCTTAGTAGAGGACTAACTACCCAATATAGGATTGGAGAACCACACAAACACACACGCACTAACAAAAAGCAAAGAAAAGAGAGAGAGAGAAAGGAAGCGAAATGTTGCCTGTTCAACAAAGATGAACTTTCTATTCTTATCAGCCAATAACGCCGGCACTATGGAGTCCAACACGTCTTGAACACAAGCCACCTGCAGTTAAACTCAATCAAAATCTCAACTTTTCATAAACCCATAATAAAATTTCAAAATCCAAAAAACCCCACAAATCACAGAACATATCGAGTTGACCTGAATGGAATTATTAGACCCAACATAGTACTGATCAATAGTCTTCAACCACCCAACATCATCATGCGAATGCGCCACCAAATGCACATTAAGCTTCCCCGGAACTATCTTCGACGTGGTATCATACACCATGTACTTCGCCTCGGCGCAAGAAACCCATAACAGAACAATCAAAACCCACCCCTGAATCGCCATGACTGACCGGTAACTGAGCTCAGAACCAGTCTATATATAACATCAACATCAAATCAAAGATGCCACGGAAGATTCGATCATCCCTTGTCGTGTAACGCTTGTTTGGTTGCAAAAAAGGGAACTTGGGATGAATTCTATAGATGGATGTAACTTTCAAGGAAATGCTGGGACTACTAGAGTAGGTGAGTAACTCTGAGGCTCGTGAGTAGGTTTAATGGAAAAGGGGAATGAATTGTAGGTAGTGAGGGTGAGGGTGAGGGTGGGGTTGGGCTTTGAATGTTGACAAAGTCTTGGTCTTTGGCTGTTTCTGCAAAATTCGTTTGAGCTTATCTGCCTAATGCAGACTGAATCAGTAGTTTTCGTCTCGGAATCGCCGGGAGTTAAAAATGTTCGCTTCCTCCGCAGCAATGGCTACTCTTCCTCCCTCTTTATTTTTTACTGGTAATTTTTTTAGTCAGTATTCACCTAAAAGGAAAATTATTTTAGTCAGTCTTTTTCCATTAAACTTTTTTTTTTTTTAACTGATTTATCCCTTAAACTTGAAGATATTGGATACGAGAAAATTTGAGTATCCTTAACCGACGATATTATTTATATTGGGTTGGTGTGAATTTCCTAAACAAGTAACCCAGCCTCTGACACAAAATCTTAAGGGCCTGATTGTGACAGTTATAATTATCAGTAATAACATTATAATCATTAAAATTATAAAATATTATTTTTAAAATTATTAATGTTATTTAATTTTATTAATTAAAATAATTATAATTATTAATTAATAAATTAGTTAACATTAGTAAAGGAAATATAATATAATTTAAATTATATTAAATTATATTATATTAATTATTAAATAAAAGTTAGATAGCATTGATAAAGAAACTGAATATTTAGTGTTTAGATTTTTTTTATTT